TGAAGATTTAATTAAATCTGTAACACTTCCACTACCACAAAACTCCATTACAAGCCAAAGTTGATCATGTTTGCCTGTTGAAGAAGGCAATTTTTTGATAAAGGCCCCATAATAAGTGGCAATATTTGGGTGATGAGAATACTTTAAAATATATGTATAAATAATTTAAGATAAGATTTTGAAATTTTTTGAAATTTAATACACATTTTAATTCTAATAAACCTAGAATCTTTACTTTTATTTATTTAGATAAATGCAGATCCAATAATTCAAAAAAAGTTTTTTATTGCTAGCTCAATATATGAATCAGGGTTATTTTAAAAAGATTCTAAATTCTAAACCCGTCAAGTGTCAAAAATATTACTTAATATTTTTAACAATATTTAGTTTTATCAACTACCAACATTTCACTTTTTAGGCACAAAAATTTAAGCTAAAAATTTATTTTCTTCCAACCTTTTTGAGCATATTAATCTCAGCTTTAATCTCCTCTTCTTCATCCTCATTTATATTCATTATTTTTATTGCAGCCAAAGACCCAGTTTTTACGTGTTTCCCCTATAGAATTAATCACTAATAATTTCCAAAAATTAATTTATTAACCTTGTAAACCTGCCCATATGTTCCAGTTCCAACAACTTCAATTAAATCGAAAATACCCGATGGATCCTTTAAATTTTGAAAAAAAACTTCCAAAAGGAGAAATGATTTTCTTATTTTAAAGAGTTTTTTTTATTATTAAAAATCTCTATTTGTGTGTGGGACTGTCATTTGGGGGGGTTGTTTAAAATTGCTAAAAAGATCTTCCAAGTTTTGGGATGTTCCCAAATAACTATTCCCGAAACAATTAATTTTGGAATTTATAGAATTAACAATACTATTATATGTATTCCAAAAGTTGATTGGCCATTATTTTTGTTTCAAGGATTTATTTTATTATTAGGTCCAACTGTATTTTGAATATCTACACAAATTTAATAAATTTGTGTTTATTTTAAGTTGGATTAGCCAAGATTTTATCAACATTTTCTAAAAAATTTTCTTTATCAACAAAACCTTTAATGACTGCAAATCCACCTCTTCAAACATTTTTTTACTTTTTTTTTATAAAATTATTGTGTAGTCATTTTTTTCTGTTTCGAAAAACTTTTAAAGGCAACCAACAAAAATGATGATTATATTTTATTTTAAATTAATTAAAACAGGCGTTAAATACTAAACAAAAATGCACAAAAATATTTTATTTAGAAGAGTGAATTTATATGAAGGACAAGTGAAAAGTCGTTTAGTTATTTAATTGTTTGTAGTTAGTTAATCGCCGGCTGGTGACCGATTGACTGGTTTAATTTGAAAGTGATTTAATAGTGAAAATAAATATTTATTTATTTATTTATTCACCATTCTATCTAACTATTAATATTTATCTATCAATATATTGTGATAATATATTTAATATAAATTGTTTATAAAATTACATAATTCTTCCAGAATTATTCACTCTAAAAATAAATCAATTGGAAAAAAGTAAAAAATAAAACATTCGAAATTTAATTTCAAAAGTTTTCCCAAAATTAAAAAGACTAATTTTGTCTCAAAAATAAACAAAACAATGGGCAATATTAGCAATAAAATAATGAAAATCCTTTTGTTACTCAGATACCTAAGTAAAATATTATAATTATCTCAATTAAGCAACTACTGAAAATCTTTAATTCTTAACCTAAAATATAAAAATAATCTAGCACTTAATAAACCTAAAAAATTTACTATTCAAAGACCATAAGCCAGTTATTGTTAAAATCTTTAATCTGGCAATAGTTAAAGTCTCAATTAATAAAATTTAAAGAAAACACCAAATATCCAAATAAAATATTTAAAAAATTCCATTTAGTTAAATTAAAAAATTTTTATTTTAACTTCGCCGCAATTTTTGGGTAAAGGATGGCACTCTGACCACCCCAACGTTAACCCAACTAAAATAAATATCTAGTTGGATGAAAAGTGCAAAAATGACAGAAGCGGCTGCAGTAGCTCAACCAAATTTAAAATTTTTCTGCACCCAACAAAAGCCCATTACAGCATTTTCCTCTACTTTTTCCATTCTTTTTCTCTCCCATTTTTTCATTCATCGAAGAAATAAACAAAATCAATACTGGGTAAAAAAATATAAAAAAATTACATTTTACTCGAGGTTAAAATTAAACAAAAAAATATTCTAGTTTAAATCATTAGAATTAGAATGTTTTTTTTTTCCTTGATCAAAAGAAAATTTAAAATAAAGGATATAGTGCGTCGAACTAAGTGACGGTACCACTCTATGGTACCACCACTCTATGTCCCTAAAAAGTGAAAAGAATTTTAGCTCTGGTAATTGTTTACTACTCGCTGAAGGGGTAGTTAATAGAGACAGGATTTTATTGAAATAAATTTTTTTTTGCAAACAAGCAAGAGGAGCCCAAATATGCTATTAGTTTTTCGATATTATTATTCTGAACAAAGTTACATTTCAATCTATTTCAATATTTTATGGCCATATTTTGCGAACCTACATATGTCAATTAAAATCAGTTCTCTAGTAATTAATAAGGAGGGTGTCTGAGGAAAGGAAGTTTAATATACAGTATATTAAACTCAAACTCAACTTTGCTAAAATTTATTCATTTTGCTTTTATTTTTAATTTAGAAATTGAATTTTTTTTATAGAATTTAATTTGTCTCAACATTTTAATTTATTTCAGTTACTAAAATTTAAAAAAAAGTTCTAAATTTTTTGACCAACAAACTCAATGCCAATAAATTTTTAAAACTAAATTTAAAATAAATATTCATCTTAAATTTGACATTCTTTTTATATCATAATAAAATCCTCTCAAATGGTTGGTGGTGGAGGTGGCGGTGGTGGTAAATTTTCTTTGCCAAGTTGTTGCGGAGTCTGATTAAAAAAAATAAAAATGGGATGTCATGCTATGTCACAACCATTATATGAAAAAAAATAAATTCGTTCGTGGTCGGCAGCTCTAATTTAAATACAGCAATCCAAAAAATAGACCTGATTATTTTGATTAGTTCGATCATCTTGTCGTTGATTGCGACGTATTAGAAGTTCAAGAAGGAGAGCTATTTGTTGCTCAGTCTATATTTTAATTAGAAAAAATTTTATTTAAGTATATTTTTGTTTATTTTCTAGTATTTATAACGCTCTTCTTTTTATTCAATGTCACTTACTCTATTCGGCTCTTGTCCTGATTACGCGTTGAAAGGCAGCTTTACGCGGCCAATGAAAAGTTTACGCGTCCGAAGAGCCCTCTATTCCCTATGGCATTCTCAAATAAAATACATTGATAAAAAGGTAAAATTTGTTTTAATTATAGAAAAATAAGGTGACATTAGAGAAGAAAGATTTGAAATTATAAACGGAAAGAAATAAGGAGAAAATTCATAAATTAACCAAAAAAGTAATTTAAAAAAAGGAAAAAACCGACTTTTTAAAATTTAAATTTAGGGCTAAAATTTAGCTTTTAAGCTTTATATTTAAAAAATTTACTAATTAATTTAAACAAAATTAATAAAAAATTTATTTTAATTTACCGGAGCTTGTTGATTGGGTAAATTGATGGGATATTCAATTCCAAACTCCTCATTCGCTTCATGTTCATGCCTTTCATTCCGTCTTCCCCGTCTTCGATTTCCTCCATTTCTACCATTTCCTTCCATTCCCGCAATATAATTTACAATAACAAAAATAATTAAAAAATTTAACAAAAAATTGTTTTTAAATAAAGACATTTTCTTTAGAAATTAAAATATAATTTATTATTTAGATTCTGAATTTTATAATAAAAAATTTTTAGTTATTTTTAAAAACAATTTTTATGGCGAGTTAAAATCAAAAAAAGTCTTTTTTACTTAATTAGCTTTTAAGTTTTTTTAAAATTTAATTTTGGAAAGGTTTAAAAGACAAAAGATAAAAGCTGCCCTTTAATTTTTTTATTTTGCCATATACCTATGCAGGGATGTAAAAATATTTTAAATGCCTAGCTAGACGTATTGCGAAAGCTTCTCTCATTAAAGGGCGTTTTAATTATTTTGAAAGTAAATTTGTATTTAAAAATTAATTGTAAATCGATTTTTATTTGCTAAAATAAATAAAAAAATGAATAAAATTTAAATAAATTTAATAAAATTAAAATTAATTAAAAAATTTTATTTTTTAAATACATATACATATGTACATTTGTTTATATAAAGACGGACCATTTGATAAAGCATATTTTTCTTAGCATGTACCACAAAACCGCTTAAAAATATCCAGGGATATGATTTTTTGAAAATGGCATTTTTCCCTTAAAAATTGAATTTTTTGCAAAAATAGGCTAAAAATGCCATTTTCAAAAAATCATATCTCTGGACCGGAAAAAGATATTTCTAAGCGGTTTTGTGGTACATACTCACAAAAATATGCTTTATCAAATGGGTTTGTTAAATTTTTTCCGAAAAATTTTTCCGAGGATATGGGATTTGGTATATCCGGTAGATCCGGATTATCTCGGCCAATTTTCAATTTCATGAAAAATGCAGAATCATGTCAACTGAGATACGAATAGAGCTTTCGATTGGTATATTGAACGTATTTTTTGACTGAGAAATAGTTAATTTTCATTTAAATTATTTACTACTCTTGTCCCTATTTTTATGTCGACTACTGTATAAATTAAAATTGTGATTTCCTATTTTGTTTTTGCTTAAAAAGAAAAGGAATCTTAAAAGAAGATTCCTTCTCATTAAAAAGAAGGAAGAATAAAAAGAATTTTGAACTGTTGTCATAATTTTACCCTTTTTAAAAACAATTGTGTTAATCAAATTAATTTTGGACAGAGTCTAATACCTATTTTTGGATTATTTTTTTTAATTTAAAGAACAAAAATATACAAATTTATTTCTAAATTAAATTGTTTATTTATTGCTTTTCTTCAAGATTTTTTTCTATTTTCTAGTAATTATTAATTTTTTCCAGTAACATATCTATCATAAGCATCATCACGTTCATCTCTTGTATTACCATTATTTGTTGCCAAACCATCTAAAGCTCCATAGCTTTGACTAGCAACCGGTGTTTGGTTAAATGCTTCAGTTATTTTATTATCACCTAATCGATGCATTGGTAACCCTTGAGGGGCTAAAAATAGTTAGAAATAATTTTTAAAAATCTTTAAAAATCTTCTACCTAAATTCCCCCCACCCCCAACTTCATCATCAAAAGCATCAAAACCTCCATATTTAACTGCTGCATTTTTTAATTTTAAATTAACGGCATAAAAAGCTCCCAAAATGCAAAGAGTAATAAATGCTAGAAGAGCAAACCAAGCACGTGTTCCATATGAACGAATAAAAAATCCACCAATTATAGGACCTACACCACGACCTAGACCGTGATAACTTTAAATAAATAATTTTAAATAATTATTAAGGAAAATATATTTACAGAATTGTTAAAATATGTTGACTATTTCCTTTTAAATGTGGAGGAGAAACAACTGAAATATTTTTTAAATCTATTTTAAAAAATATTAGTAATAAAATCTATACTTGAAACATAAGATGTAGCCATAGCCCAACTAATAGAATGTACAATTCCTTGAAGTATTTGAAGAGGAAGAACTAGCCTAAAGAAAAAAATAAAGAAGAAAATTAAATATTTTAAAAATTATTTTAATTAATTCTATGTTCAATCATACCTCGATTTTATATACACCAATAAGGTAATCTTTAATTAAGATAAATTTTTAAAACCTCAATAATGGATACACCTAGGTTTACCTACAATTTTTAACCTCGAGGGTGTATATAAAAAGAGAATTATTGCTGAATTACTTTGAATAAATTTTTAATTTGTTTATTTGTGTTTCTTTTTTCCTTACAATGAGAAAAAAATAAATTTTAATTATTCTTAAAAATGTGTTAATTTGTAGTTATTACAAATTAATTTTTCAATTAAATTACTTACCAAGGATTAGAAATCCAAGAAAGAATTAAAAACCTAGCAACATTAGTCCCTAAACAAATATACAAAGTCTGGAATAAAAAATATAAAATTTCAAATAATTTTCTTTAAAAATTTTTACTTTAATATATCCATGTTTATTAATAACTTTAAAAGCATAGAAAAAAGAACAAATTTCAGCTGCATGATTTGCAACAGAAGCCATTCCAAAAAGTGAAGGAGAACCCCCCAAATCTTGTAAATGCCAAAAAAGGAAAGCAAAAGCATTTCCAGCCCCAAATCCGATACAAATAATTCCAAGAAGGAAAGCAACAAAATGGATATTTAACAACATTGCCTTTAATGCATTTTTCCAATCTGTCCCCTCCTCTGTTTTTGCCTTTTTTTTAAATTAAAATTAAAATATTATTTATTTAATTTAGTACATTTAATTGTTTTGCTCTTGTCTTTTGTGCAACTGTTGGGTCAAGCTTTAAATTAATTAAATTTAATTAAATCCTTTACTTATTTAATTACTTCTTCAATACGTGTATCCATAACCAGACCATTAACTTCATCCTAATTATTTAAAATATTTTCAAGTTTAATTTTAATTTATATAAATTAACTGGTCGATGTTGTTCTGAAGATTGAGGAAAACGGAATTGTGTAATTATGGCCATTGAAGTTAAAGCAAATAAAGTACACGTTACAAAACACCTAGAAAGGTTATAAAATAGAAATGTAATTAATAGGAGATCTCGTATTAAATGTTTAGCAACACTAATAAAATAAATATAATAGAGATATAATTTTAATCTACATATTTATGATATTCTGATCATTCCCTACCCCAATTTCAATTGAATAATTTTTTAAACTATAATAAATAATAGTTTAACAATTAAATATAACAATTCCTTACAAAGTATAATTACGTTCTGTTGTATTTTTGGTAGGGCATGGATGATTATGAAAAGTATCAGAGAAATCAAGTCCAATACCCATTAAAAGCATTGAAAATCCCCAACCGGCACTTCCATATAATCGAAATTTTCCAAACTAAATAAAAAAATATATTTAATTTAATTTTAAAAATATACAGACATCTTTTGGAGTTTCTGAGACTAAACTCAATGTGTAACTATCTAAATAAATAAATTATATAAAATTATTTTTTTTGCGGAATTCAGAAATTTGAAAGTTTTTTTAATTAAAAGAGAGAATTCTTCAAAGATTTAATTATTCTTCAATAAATTTAAATATATTCTTAATTAATCCAATAAATAAATAAAATACCGGCTAATGGCAATGTGGGGGAAGCTGAAAAATTAATGTTTTTAAATATTTTTGTGAAAAACAAACAGAAAAATTCTCCTAAAGCAATAAGTAACCAAAGAAGCATAAAGGCTTGCTCTACAGCTTGTTCTCGATAAACTCTCTTGAAAATAATATTATTTAAACATTATTTAAAATAAATTTACTGTGCTGTGTGGAGGTGATACAAGAACTCCATAAAGATTTTCATCATAATCACAAACCTAAAAAATAATTAGGAGAATTAACTAAATTTAGATTTATTTCCAAATTTTTAAGAAATTATTTCACATTTAAATAAAATTACTTTTTCTTTTGTTATATATTCTGGCGCCTTTCCATAAACAAAATCATCATTATTATCAAAAGTTGATAAATCAATTATTGAAAGAATATCTTAAAATTAAATTCAAGATAATTCACCTCTCAATTAATTTCCAACCTCTTTTTTTCCTTCTTCCAATATCAGCAACTTTTTTAATATACCCCAAAGCCCCACCTAAAATTATAAAAAAATATAAAATAATTAACTATGATTAATAACCTCTAATTATTTTACTTGCTGGAACCAAAAATTTACATTCCCCTCCAGTATTGTTTTTGTCAAGTACAACACAATAACTTAATTATAATAATAAAGATATAAATATTAAAAATAATTATGTAGATTTACGGGGTTAAAGGTTGCACAAAACCAACAGCTAAAGTGAAAACAATCATTGATCCAACAGAAAATAATAAAAGCAATTTAACTTTAAAATTACAATATTTCTTTAAATTAATCTCTTTTTCTAAAACCTTTTTTAAACCGATCAGCAAAACTTCCCCAAAAAGGACTTGCAACTAAAATTAATTTTTAAATTTATTTTAATTAATTTAAAAACCAAATTCAACGATAGGCCTAGAACCTAAAAGAATTCCTGCCTGGGCCTTTAAATTAAAAAAAAATAATCAGAACAATAATTATTAAAATTTACAGCTGAAAGGCCAAGTTGTTTAAAATAAACAGCTAATAAAGGGAATAATGAGCCAAATGATGCAAAATAAAGTAAATAAAATAAACGAACAAAGAAAACATCTTTTGGAATAACTCGACCAAAAAAGTTAACACTTGGTTGATTCATTTAAATATTTATTTTTTAGCCCTTTTTAAAGGTGTAATACTAGATTATATTTTTAAGTAAATTAATTAAGTCTTTTATTAATTCAAAATTTTAGGACTTTATAATTTGTTTAAATAATTAGTTAAATAAGAACAATCAGAAACTCGAAGTTGGCCAATTATTTATGTAGATATTTTGGGATAAAAATTTGGGAAAGACAAAAATCTTAAAGATTATTTAAAAAAGTTTTGATAATAATTTAAGAGAGAATCGAAAAATAATGAATAATAAAACGTTACCTAGTAACATAAGAAATATAAAATTTCTAAAATTTATTTTTTTTCGATTTAAAAATTTAATTAAAAGGGAAAACAAATATTAATTTTTTAGGCTTCTCATAATTAAAAAAATATTTTAGAAAAAATTTTAATTAAAAAGACGTCATTTTAATAAAAAACCAATGTCACAATAGAGAAGAAAAATAAAAAAAGAAATTGGCATTCTAAGTTTTTTACCTATATTTTTTGTTTGCTTTGATAAAAAATAAAGGGAATGATGCTTACATTCCTTATTTTTTTTTATTTTGCTTTCTTTCAGCCGCTTATAGGAAATTTTACTCGGCATTTTTTAAATAAATATTGATTTTTATATAGCTACGAGAATGGCATTCGTTTCAAATATTTCTTTTTTCCTTTATTCACTAGCTGTCAGCAACGAACATTTTGTTGGCACTTAAACAGCGGGAATTATTCCTGGCGTTAAATAAAAGAAAGTTAAACACTGAAAAAATAAATTTGTTTTGGAAGGAAAGCAAATTTAGCCTATTAAAACACAATATATAATACCAAGAGGGACATAAAAATGAAATTTCCGATTTTCGGGAATCGGGGATGGGGTCAGCTAGACAACTGATACATATACATAATATTAAAATACTCATTTAATCATTTTAAAAATATTTAATCATTTAAAGTTCTATTTAATCCAAGCATTTTTAAACAATTAATTAATAATTTGAGAGATTCTGATTTATATGTGTATGTATAAACATTCTTTATTTTCTTCTTCTCATTTAGCCAAATCTGAATTAATTAAGAAAGAATTATTAAAAAAATTTTTTATTTAAATGATTTCCATTCAAAATGAGAGTATCAGAATTATACAGCTACATAGGTTAGCTAGGGTTTTAGGTCTATAGAAAATCCTCCATTAATTTATAATCTTTATATTAATTTTTAAGAATCTAATTTTAATCTTCTACAATTTATCTCACCTAACTTGACTAGACCAAGGAGATCTACGAAATGCAGAGACAGCCCTCTTTCCATAACGTAATTGTGTTGACCACTTTTTTAGACGTATAGGGTCCATTGTCCACTAAATATGTATAATTTAAATAAAAATTATTTTTAATTAAAATAATGCCCCTCTAAGGGAAATATAAGATAATTAACTAAGAAATACCTCATTTTCTGGTGACCATCCAATAGCATAAGGAGAGACAATATTATCTAAAGTTTCCATATTCAAATGAGAATCTACTAGTTTTTTCCCGCCATCAACAGAAGACAATCCTTCAATTTCATTTTTTCCAATCCATCTACCAGCCCCTTGTCCTTGGCATTTGGTGATTTGAAAGAGGAAAACAAAGAAAATTAAATAAAGAAAATATTTTAAATTAAACATTTTTAGCAGACTTTTTGGATCTTTTAATTAAAAATATTTAAATAAAAAAAATTATTTAACCCTTTAAAATAAAATAGAAAATATTTTTTAAAAATTAATTTAATTATTATTAGATTTTCTTAATGGTAATTAAGCCTCAGTAAATCTAAAATATTTCTTGAACTCAATATTTAAAAATTAAATTTTCAAATGATGTTTTGATTCTCCGCCTACATTTTAGGTTTTTAAAAATAATTGCTAAAAAAGGTTTTTAATATATCTACGTTATTAAAAATAAATACTTTTTTTGCAAAACAAAATTGTTTTCATTAAAGCTTTTGTTTTTATTAAAGATAAAATTTTGGAATTTTAATGTTAACATTAATTATGTTTAAATTTGGGTTTATTTTTATTTGTTATTAAAATAATTAAATAAATACGGTATTTATTTATTTTCATAATTAATTGAGTAAATATAGAATAGAAGATAGTCTTTGATTATTCAAAATTATTCTGATAAGAAAATTCTACGGAAAGATTGCTTGTATCGGGATGAGGATACCTAATCTATTTTTGGAAATTAACGTTGAATATAAAATTGTTGGTTAAATAATTTTTCAGGAGTAATGATAGAGCTCATTAAGGGTTCTCGAATACTCAAGATTACATGAAAAAATTAATTTAAAAAAAAATAATTTTATTTTTATAATAAACTAAATCGAGTTATGACTGAGCTCTCGGGCTTTATTTAAAAAGTTGAAGAAAATTTTTGTATATACATTTCTAAAGATTATAGAAAAATTTAGATTAAATAAATTTAAAAAAATTATTTAAATAATTTCTCTATGACCTTTTTAAATAAAAAAATAATTCTCAGAATTATAATTATTTAAAAGAGTGAACCAAAACTTTTTATTTCGAAAAAGATGAAAAATCGTGACTTGAAATTCAAAAAAATAATAGGCTTGTGGGAAAAATTATTATTTAAATTTTTTAAAGTTTGCGTGACAGTTTTGTTTGTATATTTAATTGTTAATATTGAAATAAAGTACAAAATAAAATGTAAAAATTTCTGAGTTGGTGACGCTTATTAACACCTTTAATTTTAAGAGAAAATAATTGATATTTGAAATAAAAATTTAAAAAATAATATTTAATTATAAAATATTTTTTGAGGGGAAAACGTTTCGAAGTTTGAAAATATGTTTACATTTTGTAAATAATAATTTTAGAAGTAATATTTTAAAATTTTGTTTTATTGTTTTAATTATTCCTTTGGGAGACAGCTAACTTTTAATGTAAAGTACCATTAATTTATAAATCAAAGAACAAGAATATTTAAATAATTCCCATTAAAAATCAAAATATTAGAATTATAGCTAAGGTTGTAGGTTTATAGAAAATCCTGGATATCTAATCTTCGTTCTAAGTATATGATTTCTATATTGTCATATTTGGAATTGTCATTTAATGAAAATCTAAACAATGTAGATAATAAAAACAAGGACGAAGAAGAGGAAGATAATTTAATTTTAATCATAAAAGCTTTGCTATGCCTTAACTGGATCTTAAAGAAAGGAGATCTTTTGAATTAAATATACACAAGGTTAACTATACATACATTAATCAAGAAGAAAGGAACTAAAAACGAGGAAAAGGAAGAAAAAGTTTAGTGGTTAGAGTTAAAATTTTATTTAAAAATTTATAAAATTGATTTTAAGTAAATATTCTGAAATCGTATAGAAAAGATTGTCAGTCTCATAAAATATTTACTTTAAATTCAGAGAGGTTTTCCGTTAGTATTATAAATATCCTATTAAAGAAAATGGCAAATAGCAGAATAAAAAATTAGGTTAAAGGACTAAGAAGAAAAAAAAGATTTCCTGAGAAGAATTTTAAACATAAGAGAGTTTAAATATTTAATAAATGATGTTTTACTTTTTAATGCTGAAAGCAAGCATTTGCGATTAAAAAAACGAAAGTGTGAGAGTGATTTTTAAAATATATATGTATCAGATTTTAATTTTAATCATGAAAAAATTGAAATCATAAAACAAGAGAACTACTTGGATAAACCTGGGTATTACACAAAAAAACAGGGCTGATACGGGTGGGGTTTTGAGTAAGTTTTTTGGCCATCATAAAATTTACGTCTGTGGTACTTAAAAAGCTACTTTTAATTTTATTTTATTTTTATAAATTCCTCCAATTTTTATTTATTCATGCTAAATTACCATTTAATTATCAGTTCTACAAATAGTCGATATTTATAGATTATAATGAGTTAATTTGCAAATCCTTGTACAATCTTCTTTTAAGAAAATAAAAATGATAAAAATGTTTACTTAAATAATTTGTGAGTTGCTTTTTTAAATAATCTTTATAATTATTTATGTAACAGAGAAAAATAATTAAAAGAATACTTTTCATAATTACACTTACTGTTTGAAGAATTGGAAGTTTTTAACTAGAGTTGTTCACGAAATTTTGATATTTTTTTAACTTTTACAAAACTTAAACCGAAAACTTCTGAAAATAAGTGATTTTATTAAAAATTCTCCCAAAATAAAACCGGTATTTGTCTAAAACTTAAAACCGAAAACGTGGATACCGGCTAATAATCGGTAGTCAACAACTCTATTCTTAAACTTCATATTCAATTAAATATTTCAAAAATGTTTATAAAATATTTGGTATTATAAAACTATAATTAGAATATTGGCAGTATTTAATTTCTAAAAACAGAAAGAGTGAAAATTATAAAAATAAAACCCTTTACATAAATATTTTTCCATTAAATGGTAAAAATAAACTTTAAAAAATCTCCCTTAGGCTTTAATTTAAAAAATATTAAATAAAGCACTTCCATTTGCTAGTTTTTTTTATTATTTTTTATAAAGTTTTGCTGATAGAGCTATAATTATTTATTGAAAAACAAAAATATTTTTATAAATTTAAATAAATTTTAAAATTAAAAATATTTAAATTTTAAAATAACTGTTAAAAAAATTTCAAAATTTTGTTTCAAAAAATTAAAAAAAATTAAAATCAACAGCTGTTTTTATATTTCTTCAATAGATAAACTTTATATGTAGTTATAATCTTCTTGTCATCAAAAAAGTCTATTTTAGTCCTAAAGAAATGGAAGATGAGGAACAGAAGTCTATGTAGTTAAAAATAGAAATAATTTTTAAATTATATCGAATAAATAAATTAATTTAATGGATTTTCTTATTTTAAATTTTTTTTTAGTTTAAAGATTGCAACATTAAAAATTGAATTTATTCTCACATTTAATTTAAATTTTATTATATTTACATTTGTATTTTTTAAGACAAATCTAGATTTAGTCATCCCCACTCAATTATTCGCCATTTTCTGTTTAACTTATGAATAATTTTTAAATAATATCGAATAAATTAATTAAAGATAATTTTTAATTTTCCAAGTAAAAAGTGGAAACATTTATAAATATCCACCAACTAATTGAGATCTTTAATCTATTTATTCCAATATTAAAATAATAATAAATTTGTTTACATATTTTATCTTTTAATGACTTTAAAATATATTTCCTTTGGGAATTTACTGTTTATAATTTTTGAAATTAATTTTTGTTCTCAAATAAATAGCTAAAAAGATATATTTTTGTTTGTATTTATTATTAAATTTTTAATTTTAAATGTAAAAATAATTAGAAATTTTTTTCAAATATTATTTTTATTTGTTTAGAAACTGTTGCCAAAAATTTAAAATTGCTGAACCAAATAAACAAATAAATATATTTATTTTACTTTCAAAAAAAGTTTTAAACCAAATTCCCCAAACACTTTCGAAAAAGATTTTTATTAAAAATTTATTTTTGGGGAAAGGTAATCTCTCTCCCTTTTTTATTAAAAAATAAATTCTGAGTATTTTAATAGATAGCATTAATGTACTGAATCTGAGGGAATGATCCCCCCTTCTCTCTTCCAATTCTCGTTTAATTTCATCCAAAACCAGCCATTTTTTAAATTAAATAAATTAATTTTTTTTAATAAATTATTAAAAAAAGTTCTTACGAGTCACTTTTCTTTTCACTTTTCTTTTTTTATTAGCATAAATATTAATTATCTAAATTAATTTATTAAATTCACAGACTAATAAATAATAAACTAATTATTAAATTTTTAAATTTAAAAATTTTTTTCTAAAAATCCCATTAATATTTTATTTTATTTAAATAAAAATATATACTAGACAATTACATCATTCTTATTTTTATAAAAAATAAAAACAATAAATTGATTATTTTATATAATAAAAATAAAAATAAATATTTTTATTTATTTTCTCCGACCAAAAAATCCTTTATAATTCAACAGGCTTCCACCCCCCTATTATTTTAACTAAGAAATACTTAAACTAGAGTTAGTGTTTAGTGTATACATATACACGAAAGGCAAAAGCAAAAAAAAATTTTTTTAGAGAGTGTAATGGGTGTGAGAAGGAATTGATTGTCCCGATGCATATTTGTATATAATTTTGCTTTATATTTTTTTTCTAACATTTTTTTGGCCAAAAAATTTCTTTTTATTGTTTAAATATTTCTCTTTATTTTAATGAAAAAAAATAAAAAAAATTTTCAGTGAGGGAATTGTAAGTAAATGGAAGAGGAAGCTCGAAAACCAATTGCTTACAGGCCTAGGGCATTGGATGGAGGCTATGGCTGGGTGGTTGTTTTAGGTTTGTTTACTGTTAATAAATTTGGAATTAAATATATTTTAATTGAAGAAAAATGATTAAACTGGAAAAAATTAAAATAAGATAGTAAATTTAGACTTGACAAATATTTTTTAAAATTCTAGTAAAGGCTTTCCCTCTTGGAAAAATTTTTCCTGCTTAAAAAAGAATTTGAACAAATTATCTATTTTCCCAACCAAAAATGAGACATTTTAATTTTGAATAAGAATTAATAGAGCAACGCAAAATTCTAGTGATTTTTTTAATTTTTAAAGGTTCCTTTTTAATTCACGTTTTTACTGACGGATTTGTTTATTCTTTTGGAGTGATTGCTGAATCGCTTATTCAAGTATTTTAAATTCTGAAAATAAAAATAAATATTTTTTAGGAATTTGATTCTTCCAATACAGTTGTATCAACTATTCTTTCCCTTCTTACTGGGTTAATGCTGGCTACTGGTCCGGTTAGTTGTGCCTGTTACTTTACTGATTTTAATATTCTTAAATATTTCTGAAAAAATTATGATTAAAATCTAAATTTTAAATTAATAATTTAAATAACTCATAAACACAAATTAACTGATAATAATAATAAATTTGAAAATAAAAATAATATTTTAAGTTAAATTATAATTATTAGACTAAAGTTTTAAAAACATTTACCCTATTTTGATTTTGTATTCTTTCAGTTAGCCTCGGCAATTTGTAATCGAATTGGATGTAGAATTACAACAATTATTGGAGCTATTATTGCTTCTTTTGGGTTAATAAATAAATAATTTATTTAATTAATAATAATTTCCTAATAGTTGTGCTATTTCTTATTTTGCCACCTCCATGGCTTTTCTTATTTTCTCTGTTGGGATTGTGATGGGGACTGGATTTGGATTAATGTATTGTCCGGCTATTGTAATTGTTACAATATATTTTGAGAAATATCGATCACTTGCTACAGGTTTTTGATAAAAATTGGGGAAATAATGGAAAAATTTTAAGCAACCGATAAGTTACAAAAATATTTTTTCTATTTGGGCGATTTTGGATTGGAAAATTAAAATTAGAAAATTAGGGGATAAATAAATAGAAGGAAATTGTTAAAATTTTTAATTTGTTTGAGTCCAAAAATTAATTTTTAAAACATTTAAAGGAGTAACAGTTTGTGGGGCAGGAGTTGGTCAGTCTTTAATTAAATAAATAATAGGGTTGTTCACTACCAGTAATTAACCGGTGCTCCCGGTTTTCGCTTAATCCAAACCTTAAAAACCCGGTTTTCGGTTTTAAGTTTTGGTCAGATACCGGTTTTATTTTGGGGGAATTTTTAATACATAAATCAATCATTTTCATAAATTTCCGGTTTTTGGTTAATATTTGGCAAGAAATCTTAAAAATTCCGGTCTTAAAACCTGTCGTGAACAACTCTAATATAACTAATTAAAATAACAAAAAATATATTTTTAGGTACTTTTATCTTCTCAAAAATCATTAGTATTTTAATTGTTCAATTTGACTGGCGGACTGTTTTTATAATTTATGCCGGTCCTTTCAAAATATTTTTAAAATAAAATATATTAATTTAATTAAAGTCCTGGTACTTCTTTGTGTGCCTTGTGGTATTCTTTACAGACCTGTTAAATTTGTGCCAATTTATGAGGATGAAGAAGAGTTGGATGAAGAAAAGGGAATTGTTGAAATTGAAGAGGAATCGGGAATTGGGGTAGATGAAGAGGGAATTAAGCCAGAAAGTGAAGGAAAAATTTTTTAAAAATTTAAATTTCTATTCAGGTTATCAAAATGGAAATGCCTTTCAAAATAATATTCTAAGGCCAGCACAATCACAACAATTAATAAATAAATTTTCAACAAAAACTAATGGAGTATTAAATGGGAATATTTTGGGGGGAAAAGTAAATGGAGGGGAAGGATTTTTACAAAGATTTCTTTCAATTGGTGATAGATTAGATGATCGAGATTGTGGAAAGGGTAGAGGGTCGATTAGTGTTTCTACTGGATTTTTGAATGTGAGGGATATTTTCTACACAGGAAGTATTGCCGGTTAGTAGGGAAATTGAATAAATTTAAATAAAAAATATTTTTTTAGAATTGCCGGAATACAAGGAAAATAAATTTAGATTTAGATCTGTCAGTTCTTTACATTCACATTCTTCCTTTAATCGGTCTAATGTTCCAAATATTTTACAGGTTTTTAGAGAAAAATTTAAATTTTAAATTTAATCTCCCTTTTTTCTAGTCCCACCAAACAGAAAGGATAGAAGAGGAGAAAGACGAGGAAGTTGAGGATAGTAGTGAATCTAATGAAAAACAAAAGCAAAAACAAATTAATGGAATTAATTCTTGCCATTTATTGGCATCGAAAAGTATTTCAAGTGAAGATGATAGAAGCTCTTCGAGTAGGGCTATTGAAATTTGGAGGTGTTTAATTATTAAATAATTTTTTTTGAAGATAATATTTTTAGAACGGTTAAACGAATGCTTGATCTTTCACTCTTAACTAATCCAGTTTATGTACTCTTTGGCATATCAAATTTTTTGACAAGGTTTAGAAAATAAATTAAATTTATTTAAAAATTTTTTTTCGTTAAAGTATTGGATTTAATGCTCCTCCAATGTTTAGTAAGTTTATTTCAAAAATTAAAAAAATATTAGAATGGACAAAGCAGAATTTTTTAAAATTTAAATAGTTGTCATTGAGGGACGATTAAAAAAATTAATTTTAGTTCTCTCAATTATTTTTTAATTTAGTGCCAATGAATGCAGAATTAGTTCTTGGTTGGGATAAAATCCAAGCATCAACAACAATTTCTGCTTATGGATTAGCTAATATTTTTGGAAGAATTTCCTTTGGTCTTTTATGTGACAGACAATTACCTACAAAATGGGGGAAAGACAAACCTAGAAATCGGCTTTGGATTTACAATTTAACTTTAATGTTTTGCGGGTTTATTACTTGTTTTGTATTTGCTATCAATTCTTTTTATGCCTTTATTGCTTATTGTTTCTTTTATGGATTTACAATTAGTGAGGAGAAATGACATTTTTTAATTAGAAAATTATTTCTTTTTAAAGGTTCTTATGTTTGCCTTACATCTGTGGTGCTTGTTGATTTGGTTGGTGTTGACCGTTTAACAAATGCCTTTGGCCTTCTTTTATTTATTCAAGGAATTGCTACTTTTGTAGGACCTCCTATTGCTGGCTAGTTTAATAAAGAATATTCTTAATAAATTTTTTTGGGGTTTTTGAGGAAGGGAGGAATTTATTGGCATAAAGGAACTGAGACATATTAGGGGTTTCATAAATCTGGAATTAATTTTTTTAGAATTTTTGAATGGTGGAAAATAGACAAGATAGGAAGAGAGTTCTAAATTAAAATAAAAATTATTTTAGTTAAACATTCTCTTTTTTACCTATTTAAAATAAAAATATTTTTATAGGAAAACTATTTGATTTAACAAATCGTTATGATTGGACATTTGCTTTGTGTGGAATTTGCTTATTTTTGTCTGGGGCAATGCTTTTTGTTATTCCTCGATTCCGAAATAATGAAAAATATTTGAATGATAAATGTTCTGTTTTGAGGATTGAAATGAATGGAGGGGATAAATTAATTTGTAATAAAGGTGAGGAGGAAAAATAGGCAAAAGAAGGCATAATTCTCAGTTAGTTAAAGTCGCAAAATAAATGGAAAGTTTTTAAAAAAAATTTTTTCTAATTTTTATTTAATTGAGTAATTTTTTGGTAAAAAATATAAGAGAAATTTAAAAAAATTTTTTACCAAAAAATTCTAATTTTTTTATTTTTCTTCTCTTTTTTAGTAATTATTTTAGAAGTTCAAAAACTCTTTAAATATATATCTATATACTTTCACAACTTATCTACCTTTGCATTTAATTATTTTTTAATAAAAATAAATAAATATTGCAATTAATTAATAATTAATTTTATTTATTTTTTTTCAACGAAAAGTATTTTATTTTATATCTTTATATAATTTTTAATTTGCCATTAATTTATCCACAAAACATTCATTCCTTTTCTATATTTATATAAATATACTCATTTTCATTATTTTTATTTTTCAAATTTTTAATTTACAGAAATATCTTCCTTCCTTTATAATTTTTCAAAAATTAATTTTTATTTCCAAACTTTAAATATTTCTGTATTTTAAATTTTTATCTGAGACAAACAATCTTCTTTTAAATTCTCTTTTCTTTAGCTAAAATTTACGGTGATTTGTTTTTGACAAATTCGAATTTTTGCACTTACTCTTTTTTTTAAATTTTTATTTTTAAAATAAATTTTATCACAATATTTGAATAAAAATATTTAATTAATATATACAATTATGAGCGAAACAAAAGTTTGTGTATCACAGAAGAAAAGAAAAATTTTTTAAAAATTAGAGGAGAGTATACTACGTTCTCATAAAAGTACATATTTATGTAATTTCTAAAAATATTTTCCTCACATTTTAGAAGGATTTTTCTATTCGAACAGGGAGGGAGGGCCTGTTTCAGTTAACCAAAGATTCTCTGTGAAAATCTGGAAAATCTGCTTCAATTACCCTAAGAATTGTACTGAAACATTTCACAGATTATTGGTTAATTAAAAATTAATTTAAAAGAGACTACAAAAATAATATTAACAAAATATAAGGAATATATTTAATTTTTTGTTTAAAAATTAATAAAAATATTATTATTTATTTATTATTGTTCAAAATACCCAAATAATATTCTTAATTAATGAAAATGGCAAGGCATTTATATGTCCAAATAATCAAAGTTATGTAGACATAAAATTAAGGAGCAAAGAGTTTCTCATACCAGGGAGCTGATTCTTTTTCACTTTTCTTATTGAAGTGTTCCTATTTAAATTTTTAATTATTCTCATAATTTAAAAAAATATACTCGTTCAATAAATTGGCAAAGACATAAATTTCTTTGGCAATGTTTTGGTCTATATTCCGAAACACCTAAAAATAACATTTTAAAATGTTTAAAGAAATATTTATTTCGTTGGTTACTTTACCTTCCGTTGGTCTAGCTGGGAGAATAAAACGTCTCTAAAAATTAATTTTAAATAAAATTTTTATTTGTATAAATACTTTCATATAAGCCTTAGCATATTCTTGAGAATAATGGCAAAGTAAATTTTCTGCTTCTGAAAGAAGTTCATCTTCAGTAAAGGGTTTTTGTGTTGCTGTTGGGGAGAATCTTCCATAATAAATACGCAATTGTTTTATAATCTCTTCTTTACAACCATTTGGATCGAGAAAAATAAACATTAACTAATAAATATATTTGGTAAATATTTTTAGGGATTTTTAGTAGAATGTCTACATAATTGCCTGGTTTGATATGGAGTATGTATGTTTCTAATTGGGGGTACTTTTTTAGGACATTGAAAATTAGATTAAAAGAGACACAAACCAGGCTATTTTGGCTAATTAAAAATATTTTTAAACAAATTACCGCAACTTTATGGCAAGATAATTGTCCTCTATCTTGAACGCCTATCAATATTTTATATTGTAAAAAGCTTATTTTATTAACATCTTTCATTAAATTTCTTAGTGAGAGAACAATCTTTAAAAAAAAATATTTTTTAAAAATTAATTTAATTAATTTACATATTTTCGAATAAATACGCAAAGTAATAAACCTAACAATAACATTAAAAGCCAAACAATTGTAAAAATAAGTATTGGAAATCCTCCACCTACAACTAAAAAAATAATTATTTAAAAAATAATTAATTAACTAATTACCTGCTGGAGAGGATGCCAAAACTGCTAACAAAATAATTATAGAAAATATTAACCAAATAGGTGTTAAACGAGAATAAATAACTGCATAACTAAATAATTAATAAATAATAAATAATTATATTTAAGTTAATAATTAACCTAAAAAATCGTAAATCATTAGAAATTGTTCGAATTATGTCTTCAAAAGTTATTTGTGGAAACTTTAAAATTAATTAAATTAATTTAAAATTTGATCTTTACTTCAATCTGTTTATTATTTGCTAATTTTGAAGGCATTTTGTAATCATATTTAGGTGGAACAAGCCAAGCACAATGGGCATTACTTGGATAAACAATTACCAATAATTTGCCATTTTCTATTAATTTATAAAAATTTAATTATTTTAATTGATGGAGATCAATCCCGAGGAATCTGTTTTGTTTGATTTGGCAAACATTGGCAAAATTTGGCCCTATGGGTGGCATTATTTAGTGATTTCATTGTATTTTTTCTTATAATAACTAAAATAATTTACTCAATTCTTCACTATTTTTATCTCCTTCACCATCATCATAATTATTATTAGATCCCCCCTCTGTATTTCCTCCATTACTACTATTAGAAGTTCCAGCACCAATCTCCAAAATAATTTCTTTTTTTCTTTCTTTTTGTGGTTTTGTTGTTGGACGAGGTGGGGGAATTGGTGGAGGGGGTAGGGGTGGGGGTATTCCAATATTATTATTATTTTGTTTTGGACTTTGTTGGGTTGAATCCAAGTCATTTAAAGGAATATCATTAAGTTCAATCGGTTCAAGAAGAGCTGTAATTAATTTAATATTAAAAATATTTGTTAAAATTAAGAATAAATTTATTTAAGGGCTAGGAGAATGGTGATCTCACAGTTTTTAAGGCTGTGTTGATATTGTTGATTAAATTCAATCGACTGAATTAATTGAAGTAAATGTAATTGTGCACAATACTAGATGATTTGGGATTTAATTATTCTAAAATTTTTAAAAGGTAAGGAAGATATTGCACTAAAAATACTCAATGATTGCCTATAAATTCTATCAAAAATTCCCCAGTCCAACAAACCTTTCGAATTTAAATTTTTTGCAAAAAATATCTATTTTATTTTTTACTAACCAGTAGGTTGCCGATCAGATGAAGAAGAGTTTGCAGCCATTTTGACTGGACTTAATAAAATACTACCCCCATCCTCGCCTTTTTCTTTATTAAAAGAAACCCAATTTTTTGATTGCCCATTAGTTATTAAATTATTTTTATTAATATTTTGTTCGTTTTCATTTTCTTCAATTACTGTCTTCATTGTTAAATTTAATATTTTTTTTCAAAAAATAAATTAATAAAATATTCTCTTTTTAATTTTTAGTAATTAATAGTAGTAATAAATTAAATTCAAAAAATTTTTTGGAGAAAACTAAAATAAAATTTAATTACCCAAGTTTAAGTTTAAGAAATATTTAAAATGGCACAATCTAAAGAAATTAAAGAAATTCTTGCTAAACTTCAAACTATTCAACAACAAATTAATAAATTAGACGACAAGGTTGAAACATTAAATACAGCAGATATTATTGAAAAATTGGAAAATATATCAACGACTATAGAAACAACAGCAATCAAAGCTGTTGAGGATAAAGAAAGACAACGTAGTCTTGTCCTTATAGGATTAAAAGAATCAACAGCAGTTCGGCCAACAGAGCGTGCGAAAGCTGACGAGGAGGAGGTTTTACGCGTTCTGGACGCGCTGGACGTCCAGACATTGCCATTGGCAGTGTATAGAATGGGAAATCCAGCCAAAGCAGGTCCAAATGGTCGTTTAATTAAAGTGATACTTCCCAGTACATCTTTTCAGCGAATTTGTTTGGCTCAGTGGAAAAAGAAACGTCTTGAGATTCGATCCATGGAAAAATGGACCAAATTACTAATAAGACCTTCACTAACTGCTGAACAACTACGCTTAGACAAGGAAGAGAGAGACAAACGCAGAATCGATTGGCAAGAAAGAAATAAGAATAATACTGCTGGAGACAACGTTACAAGACGTACAAAAAACTATTAGGTAATTTTGAGATCAAATTATACTATTTTAATTCAAGAAGTGTTACAAACAAAATTGACACTCTTAAATTCCTAATGCAAAAAAATTCCTTTGAAATAATATTGATAACTGAGAGCTGGCTAAATCATAAAACTTTAGACTCATCCATAATAGAAAACTCAAAATATTCATTAATACGTAACGATAGAATTAATTCTAAAAAAGGCGGCGGGGTTTTAGCAGTTATTTCAAATTCTATTCCCTTTAATGAAATTAAAACCTGCAAAAATTCTCACTATGAAATACTATGTTTTGACATATATTCACCTTTTACTTCCCAGAAACATAGATTTATATTAGTTTATCTCCCACCACCTGTAAACAAAATACAACAAAATTGCCTTGTTGAAAAATTACAACAATTAACCAGTATTGATTATACATACTCTATCATTGGTGATTTCAATATTCCTTATATACCCTGGGGTAGCGAAAATTTAATAGAAATTAAAAATGATAATATTTTACTAGAATTTATAAAATACTCTCAACTAGAACAAATTATAAAATTTCCTACACGCCAAAACAATTTTTTAGATTTAATATTTACTAATTCACTTTCCTCCTATAAATCCATAAATATGACTGAACCAATACAATCAAACATATACCAGTCCGATCATAATGGAATAGAAGTCATTTTCAATTTCATAAAAACCAAAAATCTTAATCAAAATTATAAAGATTATATAAACTGTAACTATAATATCATAAACAACTATCTAAATTCAATAAACTGGAATTTATGTTTTGCAAATTGCATAGACATAAATCACCTGTATTCCACCTTCCAAAAAATAATTTCTGAAACTATAGAAAATTTGATACCAACAAAATCTAGAAACAGTAAAAATTTATTACCAAAACACATACAATCATTAATTGAATACCGTCGTAAACTATTTAAGGATAAAAGTTTACACTCAACAGAAAAATTTAAAATTGCATCATTAAAAATAGATAAAGAAATACAGAAATACTTTAGAAATCGTGAAAATAAACGATTAAAAAATATTCGAACTAAATATACTCATATTACAAACCTTTTAAAGACAAAAAATACACAAATTCCAATACTCTTGGACAATAATAAACTTCCTCTAATATCAGCTAAATCTAAAGCTAATCTCTTTTCAAACTATTTTTCACAAATTCTCTCTCCATCCAATCAAAAATCTCTAATCCACAAACCTTCTCTCACTCCAAAATCTTCTTCAAATAAAAATAACCTCATTAACACACACACAAACAAACCATATTTAAACTTTATACAATCATTTCAAGAAGATATATTCTTTATATTAAAATCGTTAACAAATAAATCAAATATATCGACAGATATGATTCCTGAGATATTTTTAAAAAATTGCTCACAATCACTTGCTTACCCTATCTACTACATATTTAACTATATTACAATGAGCGCAAACTTACCCGATATCTGGAAACAGTCCATAATTATACCCATTCCGAAAAATAAAAATTCATCCTGTCCTTCAGACTACCGGCCAATATCTCTATTATGTCCAATCTCAAAAGTCTTCGAAAGATTATTATACAATCAATTAATTAATTTTATAGAAAAATATGAAATTATCCCTAACGTCCAACATGGATTTCGAAAAGGGAAATCAGTAACCACACAACTTTTAGAAACATTCAACGACTTTTCGATTGCTTTGGAAAATAAACAATTTATTGATGTCATATATTTTGATTTTAGTAAAGCCTTCGACACAGTTCCACATGATAAACTTATAAATAAATTACACAAAATTGGAATAAGGGGATCTTTTTTACAATTGCTAAAAAATTACCTCACTAATAGAAAATTTACTGTGATGATCCAAGATTATAAAACTGATTTAATGGATATAAATAGAGGCGTCCCACAGGGGTCAATACTAGGGCCATTATTTTTCCTTATATACATATCAGATCTACCCAGTTTCTGTGAAACAAAGGACGTAAAGATAAAATTGTTTGCAGACGATCTTAAAGCATACTCATTCTCTAAAAACACTAAAGACTTTGAAATTAACCTACAAGAGTTTATCAAAAAACTAGAAAAATATGCTGAGGAAAATTCACTCAAACTTTCAGCCGAAAAAACATCTCTTTTACACATAGGGCCTAAAAACCCTTTGCACACATACACACTCAATAATCAAAAGATAAAAACAGTCTCAAATCAAGATTCTATAAGAGACCTTGGCGTTTATTTTTCACACGATTTAAAATGGGAAAAGCACATCAAAATTATAACTAACAAAGCAAATCAAACAGCATTTACAATAATAAGAAATCTAAAAACTAATGATCCTAAAATATTACTCGAACTATATAAAATATACGTATTACCCATAATAGAATTTGCATCGCCCGTTTTCAATCCATATCTTAAAAAGGATATCGAACACCTTGAACAAATACAAAAAACTTATTTACGTATTATATACAATAGGTCAAATCCACGCACACCAATTCCAGAATATCAAGACCTTCTACAAATTTTTAAGGTAGACTCGCTACAAATTAGAAGACTCAAAACTGACTTTAAATTTTTCCACAAAATTTTACATGGTGAAGTAAAAATCGATCAAAAAGAAACATTTAAAATTACAAAAACTAATACAAGGGGAGACGAATATAAATTTTTTATTCCGGCAAGATCAAATCAAATCAGCCATAATTCCTTTTTTGTTAGGACAGCGCGGCTATACTCTCAGTTACCAATATCAATACGTAAATCAAATTCCAAAATATTCAAAACACTTCTTGATCAAATAGATCTCAACACATATTTATCACGCCCCACACCCGTAACATAATACAATCACATATACAGTAGTCGACAAAAAGATAGGGACAAACGCATGTGAAACGAAAATCGCCTATTATCTCAACTAAAAATCGATTTCAGGAAAAATTTTTTTGTTTAATTAAATACTCCATTTAATGCTCTATTTAATGAGTATAAGATCTACCGGATTATTATTTTTTGAAATACTGAAATAATTTAACTAAAAAAGTTATGCAAATTTCAGCCCGACAAAAAGATAGGGACAAGTCTTGTAACTAATTATTCACTCAACCAAAAAATTTATAAAAATTCGTGCGAACATACTGATCGATACTAAGATAAAATAAAAAAGAACTAGGCCCATATCTCGTTTTATTGTCGAGATCTCAATACCCCGAAAATCAACGTAAAACAGGGGTTTTCAACTTCAAAAAATATTTTCGACCCCTTATGGATTTTCTAAAATTTTTATTTTAAGCCCATTCGATAGCCCTTGAAATTTGCTATAAACTAGCCAAATTTCATTTTTGAGAAAAAAACATTTCGTTAGCTGTAGAGGCTAACGTCACAAAAAACAGCAAACGCCCCATAAATTGCTTCTTAAACGGCATTTTGGTGAATCGTCGTCCTTTATCTCGGGAGTGAAATTTTTTTGAAGAATGAAATTTGGCTAGTTTATAGCAAATTTCAAGGGCTATCGAATGGGCTCAAAATAAAAATTTTAGAAAATCCATAAGGGGTCGAAAATATTTTTTGAAGTTGAAAACCCCTGTTTTACCCGTGTTTTTAGGGTTCCGAGATCTCGATATTGAAATGAGATATGGACCTAGTTCTTTTTTATTTCTTCTTAGTATCGATCAATATGCTTCCACAAATTTTTGTAGATTTTTTGCTTTTATGAAAACTTTGTTACAAGACTTGTCCCTATCTTTTTGTCGCGCTTAAAATAGCATATCTTTTGTTTTTTAATAATGTTTGGATTTTATAAAATTTTAACCAGGCAAATTTTCTACTTATTAAATAGAGAATTAAATGGAGTATTTAATCAAATAAAAAAGTTTTCCTAAAATTGATTTTTAACCGAGAAAATAGGTGATTTCCATTACACTTGTGTTTGTCCCTATCTTTTTGTCGACTACTGTATTTGTTGTACCAATTATTGACATATATTTGTTTTAGTTTAATTTTCAACTTGACTTAATTTATTTTTTCAATCCATATATGTATTTTCAAATTTGTAATGTCGCCCAAGAGGCAAATAAATAAATAAATAAATAAATAAATTATTTAAAATAATTAATAATTTTAATGAAAAAAAGAAAAAAGAACAATATTTTTATTCTATCACTCGAGATGAAATATGTAGACAGAAGAGCCTATGTATCCAAAAGGTGAGCGGATCCA